TCAGCAGAACATGGAGCTTCAAGACCGAGAGGTGGGTTTCTCGGGCAAGGGCCGTTGGAACACTCTGGTTCGACGATGTTTCTGAGTGAATGTTCAGCCGGATCATAACCAACACAGCCGATCAGATCCGCATGGAATGAGTGGTCGTGACTTGGAAGCTGGTTAACTGCTCGTCAGCTCAGGTCCGCCTCGTCCTGGCATCCCGTCGTTTCCCTCACCCAAGTAAGTATATTCAAAGGAGTTTTGCAGTCATGGTGATAAATGCAGCTATTGGAATGATATTGATATTTTTGGAAAAGATCGACAAATATTGGTTCTGTTTCATCGTTGCACAAATCTGGTCCTGGAGCCACGTGCGAGACAGCAAGGCCATCTAGTCTCGACCAACTGCAACTCAACACTGATCTCCGAACCTTTGAACAGCCGCTATGACATGTCAAAGGGTCGAACAATGTGTACCCAAATACTTCGACACTGGCTAAAGAATGGCATCCTCCTCCAGTCAATTGCCATGCTCGCTCATCGATTTCAGGATCCAAAGATGCCAATTCTTCCATCCTGACCAGGTCACGGGTACTCGAAGAGCCTCCAAGAAGACACGTACATGCTGCGTGATCTTCATCTCCGCTATTCTACCATGGGGTCGGAGGAACCGAGTAGCTACTGGCAAGATCTGGTCATGTGGTCGACTTGGCGATCAGGCGTTGTGCTTGCATGGAAAAAGCGCGGGAATGATGCCCAAGACGGTAAGCTATTCGATTACCTCAATGCATAGTCTTCCGATTGAGAGTCTGGCCGGCTATGTAGCCTCAAAGGAGAAAATGGTAGGATGCCTCAAACGTCAATAGTTGTGACTAGACCAGTAACGCTAAGGCTCAATGGAATTGGACATGGAGCCTGTTGGCATTCAATATATTCGAGCTTACTTGCTTCCGTCCTTTCGTTGTGATTATAGATATTCCAGAAGGCCTCCAGATGTGGCTGCAACTGCCATCTTGGTATACTGGCAGGCTGGTAGCGATGCGCATGCAGTTTTCACGTTCCTTTGCATGGTAGCCCTCACCCAAGCACTGACACTGCAGGGTTACTCCAACACGATGGAGACGAGCGATGCGCGAATCTAGCCTACTTTTAGGCTTTTGGCCAATATCTGACAGGTCTTGTATATCCACGGTACCCAGCCACCAGCGAAGTATTCCAGCCGATCTTGGGATTTCTGCAAGTTGAAATGAGAAAGTGCTTGATTTCGTTCCAAAATGTTTGTAGCAGTCTCCCTGTTGCATCATTTGCGCCAAGGCAATGGCTTATGCGTAAAATGTTTGGGAACCCCTAACATCTCTTGTGTGAAGCTTGAAGCAATAAAGTTAGAAATAATATGAATCCAAGCACCATCCGCTTGATAATATCGGGCGCCTCAAAAGCATGATATCCACATTCAATCAATGATTGTTCCGCTCTTTTTCGAATTCTCAGCATTTTTCATCGCGAATCGGCAATATTACTTATCTGATCACATATCATCGAATGCAACGCAACACTTCGCTACAGCGTACAGCGTACCCTTCGTTGACTTCGCTAGAGCTCTTGATTAATATGGCCAATAAAATTACGCTTTGAACAATCGAGGCTAAATCTGTCCATCGCATCTGTTTATGTCTGCGTATCGCCTAATTGTCCAGAATGAACATGACGCTGCTTGTACAGATAGCTCCACATTTGTGGTACCCCAAAACTCTAAATCTACCCCGCAATCCAATATTCCCTGGCTTGCGTAAGTGGAAGAAGAAGGAGGAAAAAAAAACAAAAAAAAAACGCTAGGGAAACAAAGAAACATCCGATTAAGCAACTTAGTCACCGAATCAACGACCATCCGGTCTTTCCCCTCCCTCCCTTGCCTCGCCTTGCCTCGCGTCGCCTTGCCTTGCATTCCATTGCTTACTTTTCCCTCAACCAGGGTAACCCTCCAGTCATTTGTTGTTGTTTTTTTCTTTGGTGGCTTGGCTTGGCTTTCCTTTTGTTTCTCCTTTGGTTCCGAAGTTCCTCCTGCCACGCACGTGATGGCCAACCCGACCGAATGGTTCCCGGCCCACATTCTCCAGGGACGGGCCGGAGCCGAGGGTTGTCTAGGTGCTGAAACTGATGCAGGCTGTCATCATCATCATCATCCTGATCAAGAAGATCAAACACGGCTGGCCATCATCATCCTCAACCAGCCGCTACATGACGAAGAGACCCTGAAGGTTCTTTGGAAGAATGGTATGCGATTGTCTTCTGGCTTTGATAGTCACAGTCACAACGGATCTTGTGCCCTACGACATTGTCACCCTCCAAACAGGGGGTTTGCTGCATCACATATTCATCATGAGAAAAGTGAAAGTTAATCTTATCGATCTCGATAGCATCTCTGCGAGTAGCAGCAGACGGCGGAGCAAATCGACTCTTGGATATTTGTCACAAGATTGGAGATGATATATTTGTACGTCTTCTATCTTTCATATCGCGATGTAGTTTGGATCATACTGTCCATACAAAGTAGCAGTGTGATGTACGCGTACATTCTCATTCCAAAAAGAGAGACATGCATATCAATCGCTAATCTGCATCTGGTTCATCCACGCAGAAAGACTTGGACGTGATAATAGGCGATTTGGACTCACTCACCCCTGAAGCACGAAACTATTTCACCACCACACCTGCAAAGCCCGCGCACATCATCCACGACCCGGATCAGTACTCGACGGATTTCACCAAGGCAGTTCGCTACATCCGCTCGTGTTCAACGTCGTCTGCACACACATTTTCTTCTTCATTGCCTACAGTCGATAATGACAATAGCATCAGCAACACCAACAGCCATGGCAACAAACCAATCGACATCATCGCCATGGGCGGCCTGGGCGGGCGCGTCGACCAGGGCCTGAGCCAACTGCACCATCTGTACCTCTTCCAGAAAGACTCGCACTATGCCGATGGCCGGATGTATCTCGTGAGCGGCGAGTCGCTGACGGTACTGCTCAAGGCGGGTTGTCACCGGATCCATGTGCGATCGGCCGCTGGCCCAGAGGGACCCCAGCAAAAACAGCAAGACGTCTTTGACAAGTACGTCGGCATCATTCCCGTCAAAGAGCCCAGTGTTATCTCCACCAAGGGCCTCGAGTGGGATGTGACGGACTGGGAGACGGAGTTTGGCGGGCTGATGAGCACGAGTAACCACGTCTTGCCAGAGACCAGAATCGTCGAGGTCGAGACCAGCAAGGACGTGCTATTCACAATTGCACTCAAGCGATAGCGTGTGTAGACGAAGTAGAATGACGGATGAATGCTGGAAATGAATGTAATGACGACATTGGTTCGACGAAACCTCGCTAAGAGAAGCAGACGTAAAGAAAGAGGAAGAGAGGGAAGAATATCCTTAGACTATAGATTCAGCACCAATCATACCCTTCTTGGATGATCGTAGTTTTGAAAACCAAAACGCCTTGCTTATGCACACCATGCGAGGCAAAACCCTGCCTGCCCTTGGCTTTCGGTTGAACAGGCTCCGTTTGCAGCACATCAAAAGGGAAAAAAAAACCACCAAAAAAAACCGTTGTCCTTGCCAGAATCACCTCAGATAGTGTAAAACGAGCCAGCAGAACAAAAAGAAGATGACAACACCAGCCCAAAAGATCCATTTGTCTTCTCTCGCCCGTCGCTCGATCATCCGGATTGTATCGCCGGACACGCCCAACGTGTTGCCGACAGAGTATAGTCTACACAATCGTTGAATGTTAGCAAAACCACAAAGTCTTCACAATAAAAAGCTCTTGATGAGACACAGGAGTATAGGCCACCATACCTCTTTTGCGTGTTCTTGAGCATCTCTCTCTGCGTGCCCAAGTCGCCAAGCACAGCTTGCCCACGCGCAATATACTCGTCAAGCGCCGAGTTGGCGCCCGCAAAGAAATTCTGCTCCCTAAGCGCATGGTCCTCGCGCGACATATTGTCACTTCCCAGACCATACCCTCCTCCACCTCCACCAGCGTTTCTCTCTGCACCACTCAAGTTCCTCGCATGCCCACCGCCACCACTTCCGAAGGCCGATGACGAGGAGCCCGCGCCCGTCAGACCCCCGGCATTCGCATACGGATTCTCGGGCGTATCATTCGCATACGGCCTCCGGCCCAACAGCTCGTTGCGGTTCTGGCTATGCAAAATCTCGTCGCGCGCAGACTTGATGGCCTCAAACTCACGCCTGTACTCGCCCAGCTCGGTTTTGAAGTTGCGGATCCGCTCGTTGGCCTTCTCCTGCTTGGCTGGGTTGAGCTCTTGCTTGGCGAGGGAATTATATTCGTCGATTGTACGCTGGAAGGCTGTCAGGGAAGCGCTGAGGGAGCCGAGGGCTGCGGGGCTGAGGAGCGCGTTGGGCGAGGCTGGTAAGGAGGACGAGAGGGTTGAGAGGTCTTTGCGGATCGAGGTGCTCTGCTTGAGAGCACTGTTGAAGGTTGTGTTCTGGATTCAGGGAGAGGTGTTAGCGGATGACGATGAGTCTATATGAGCAAAGCTTTCAAGTATACTGACCATGGTGGGCTTTGGAGTGAGGGAATCATGGATGGTGGTTTATGGAGCTGTTGAGAGGTTGTGGTGTTGGGATCGCGGGAATGCGCTAGGGACGGGACAACTGGAAGCATCTGAAAGTTCCAGGGTGGCATCTCGATGTGCCTGACGATGTACACGGTACATTGATGAGTATGCGCTGCCTGGCTTATCTGGCCACATTTGTGCATCTTACTAGCAGCTACAAGCTCGTATCATCTGAAAATGTTCCATTTGGTAATAAGGCTAATTTGATGAGCATGAGAAAATGACTCCTCAACGTAGAGCGTCGTAGCGTTGTCATATTGAAGTGACTGATACGACGATCCCTCCATTTGCAGCGCTTTCACCACAGAAGGGTGTAGGTTAATGCTTCTTGTAACACTATATAGACAATATTTCCGGAATTACTGACAACGAGTCAAGGGGCTATGGCTCAGGGGTAGAGCGTCTGCTTCGCAATAAGCGAATTTGTAGAAGGTCAAGGGTTCAATTCCCTTTAGCTCCATCGTTTTTTGTCCTCGTTTTGACTTTTTGCATTACCCATGGTATCTTCTTGATGCGATGCATGACGTTTTGTATCTTTGATTTCAAGCAGAGAGGGTGTCTGGAAGGCATTCTGTGAGGTGGTGTTGGCGAACTGGATGCGGGTGGTGATTCTCGTCGTCCTCTGCAAATGACGGATGGAGTTTTCATCAGAAATGTTTATTGTTTGTCTATCACACCCGCAGCAGAAAGTATTCGTTTTCCTTAGATGTGGTGGAAATGGCAAACGTTGGAACTATCCTTAACCAGATGAAGCCAAGCTATCCGACGAGGCAGCTCAAGTCCGACGCGAAACACCTTTGAGAAAAGCAACAAAAATCAACAGTCCGGCACACTAACAGGAATATTCAACGGCACACTCGTGGCAAGCCCACTTAGACTCGTCTCCTTGAACTCGTTCCTCATGCCCTGCGCCGTCAAACGCATTGCACGAATGGCATCATCGAGCCCAACCTTGGCCGTCCCTGGCGCAGAGCTGCTCAGCGCCAGGTTTGCGCTCGAAATAGCCTTGATAGCACCCAGCGCATTCCGCTCAATGCACGGCGCTTGCACAAGTCCGCCGATCGGGTCGCACGTCAATCCAAGGTTGTGCTCGATACCAATTTCGGCGGCCTGCTCAATTGTCGCCGGGCCGGCGCCCATGCACGCTGCAAAAGCACCAGCAGCCATGCTGCACGCCACGCCCACTTCTGCCATGCATCCGCCCTCTGCTGCTGATATGGTCGCGCCGCGCTTGTACAGCATGCCAATGGCCGCGGCTGTCAGTAAAAAGGTTGGGATGTCCCGTTCGGGATCGTCGCTAATGAACTCAATTGTGTACTTGAGCACGGCGGGAATGATGCCCGCTGCGCCATTGGTGGGCGCCGTTACGATTCGCCCGCCTGCGGCATTGGTCTCATTGACTGCAATGGCGTATACGGCTAGATAGTCCATTGCTGGGAAGTCAGGCCGGCGCGGTGGTGAGGGTGTGATGATATGGTTGAAAGAGCCGTGGGTGCGCAAGGGTGAGCCCCGCTTATATAGAGGCGTGGTCTGAAATTGTCCTGGAGTGGTAGCCTTTGCGAGACCTGTGGGCTCTGACATGCCGGTACCGCCGACGAGGTTCGCCGGCTCAGGAGGCGCAACGGATGGCTGGATCTCCTGGCCTTTTGATGGGTATAGACCGCGCGTGAGGCGCTTGTAGAGAGCCGGTGCGCGACGATGTAGCTTCAAGGAACCGGGCAGCGTCGAGTCGAGTGGTGCTTGGACGCCTTGTAGGATACTGTTGTCCATGACTTGCCAGATACGGTAGGTCTTTTCGAGGATCTCGTCGTTGGTATGGCCGTGGCTCTTTTCGTTCTCGAAGACCAATTGGGCAATGGTCAAGTTGTGTTTGTGGCATAATGCCATAAGGCTGCTAGCGTCCCGAAAGGGGTAGCGTGGCTGTGCAGCTCCATCGGTGCTCTCAGTTGTGGATTGGACATTCGAGGTTTCAGACTCTGTAGCAGCGTTGATAGCAACAACACTATTCTCCTTGTCTGCGTCTTGGCCGGGCAAGAGTGGCGCTTCGTCCTTGGGCCGTACCTCGGCACCTGTTCTTCGATCTCCAGCGGCGTCAGACCGTCTGATTTCCTTGTAGAAAAGATTTTCTGCCAGATCTTTTGGATGTGTGCCCGGGGGGTTGGCGCTGGGTGTTTCACTGGCTGAAGGCTTTGCGGTCGTCTGTTCAGGCTGTCCAAAGTCTGTGGAGAGCGATCCATTGACGACGAACCCACCGCCGACACTGAACAAGTCGTTGGATGCCAGCATCTCGCCATCCTTGTCGTAGACCTTGAAGCGCATACCATTGCTGTGAAGTGCCAGTTTCCGGCCCCATTCCCAGGTGAAGTCGCGATCATAGTTAAAGTCAATCTCCTTGCCCTTGCCACTAGCCAAACCCTGGCCCAGAAATAGTCGTTTAGTCTTTTTGATTTCCTCAAAACGGGTGGGCACATAGGCCGTGTCCACCGTCTCGACATTCTGGCTTTCAAGACCGAGGAGTAATGCTATTTGGTATCGCGGAGTCGACAGTCAGCAATAGGACGCGCGAAGGAGAGCCACTCCTCTCATGAGCCATACCGGACGGTGTCATGTGTCCTTCGCCAGTCAAGGCCAAACTTCCATAGAGTGAGACCCGAATTCTGTGCACCTTGTGCAGCAGGTCTGCCTCAATCAGGTCGGTGATGAAAATGTTGCCTGCGCGCATGGGTCCTACGGTGTGGGACGAGCTGGGGCCGATGCCAATAGAAAAGAGGTCGAAGGTTGAGATGACGGCATGTTCGTGGTCGGCCTCGCTATAGGTGCCCGTCTCTTCAATGTCGTCGCCGTCTGCGTTAGTGTTAGTGTCGGCTGATGAAGAGAGCCACCGCCGTGAAGAAGCCCGGGAGAGGCTCGTCTGTGGTCTCAAAGTCAAAGAGCCTTCTAGTCTGGACAGTCGTGGCAGAGGCGAAGATCTCCCTCTGACCAGCCCGTTAGAGACTGGGCTTGAAGCTCTCACAGCGTGCCCGGATATGCGGCGCAACGCCTTGAATTGATGCATTGAGGCGAACTTCAGCGAAGCACGCTGTCAAACCGAAAGGATGGATGTTTTGGCTGCTTTTGATTGAACAGATATGAGACCGAGTTTTATACACAGAACCAGACGAGAGAATAGTCAAAGTACGGATGTCAATAAGGAACAAACAAGTCATAAAAACAAACTGGATGTGAGAGTCGTGCTTCGTATGTGTAGTCAGCAAGGGCGGTGATGCGGTGCGATTGGCCAATCAGAAGCCGCCTCATGTCAGCTCCCTGATAAGGAAGGCGGGCCAGACAGGGGTCCCGCTGTCTGCAGGCGGAACCAAAAGCAACGTCGTCCGTAAACCTTGACACCAACTCCAACTCTCTCTCTTGACTTTTTTATCACGAGGCTGGCTGGCTTGACTAATGGGAACGTGACTAACTATTGCCAGAGACAAATTACGATACCATTGTGCAGGTACATGCATTGCAGAGATCATGACCTTCTACAACACCAATCATCGCGCCTCGTTGGCATTCCGTTGGTCCCTCGCCTCCTCCTTGAGTTGTTCCTGGAACTCTCGTGTCAAGTCGCACACCGCCCGCAAGTGCTGAGTCGTCATTTTGCCATCAGGACGCCGCGGCACTGGAGTGTATCCAGCCATGCTCGACTGCTGAGGATAACCAACCTCGTATCCTCCATGCATTCCAGGACCAGCATTCGTGTTCATATTCAGAGCAGGTGGCATGCCATAGCCTCCTCCTCCATATCCAAGTCCAGGAGCACCGTACCCACCGCCAGCCATTGCATAACGCTGTGCTTGCTGCTGGGCCACGAGCATCATGTTCTTGGCCTCGACTCCCAGCTCGTCGTTGTCGAGAGAGAAACTGGCATAGGCTTGTGCCGCCTGCACAACGTTGCGGATTTGACGGCCGTTGAGAGCGTACATGTGTCCAAACTGGTCCACAAACCGCATTGTGTCAGCCTGGTCGTGTATGAGATGAGGTCGCAGTTGGTTCAAGTAGTACTTGAAAATGTTGCGCATCTGCTCGGCGTCGAGGTCCGTGTACCGTACAGCCAAGTGGATGCGAGATACCACCGCCACATCGATGGCTTTGATGCGGTTCGTTGTCATCATGATGATGCCTTCATAGTACTCGAGCACGCGCAAGAGAACGGACACCAATGCGTTCCTGCTTGGCGGCGAGTGCCGGTTTCGCGTCTCAAGAAAAACGTCCGCTTCGTCAATGAGCAAGACAGCGCCCCATTTAGTAGCCAAGGCAAAGATCTTTTCGAGTTTGCGTTCGGCCCGCGACGCGTCCAGTCCGATTTCTGCCACGGACACCACAAACAATGGCTTGCCTGTCGCCCGCGCCACCGTTTCCGCGGTCAGTGTCTTGCCGACCCCTGGCGGGCCATGGAGTAGGAGAACAAGCCCCTTGCCCTTTTCCTCAACAATGTCCGTGATCGGCCTCTTGACTTTATGCATATGGGCTGCCACCAAGGACTCAATCATGTCCTTGTATCTCTGGCTCAACTGGAGCGTTTGTTTGAAGTCATGCGGATTTGGCTTATCCTTCTCCGATGCCGAATCGAGGTGGAACTGGCCCCAGACGCGCTGTCGCGTTGCGTATCCCAGGACACGTGGGGGAAGCAGCAAGAAATTGTCTTCCATCGGCAGCGGCTCGTTTGGCTTGAGACTTGACACAGTTTCAAAGAAGATGTCATCCTCCGTGGTCGTTGGCTGCCTGTCGATGAAAGTGTCCTGGTTGTTCCGGTCGCCGATGGGGAGCAACGAGCTGGTATTCTGCGCATATGCCGCCGCATCCGAGATGACCTCTCCTTTGATGAGGACCAACTTGGAATTCGATGAGTTCTCTTCGTCCTGAGCCGGATTGTAATCTGGATTCTCGTCATCGCCCCCGTGCTTGTCTTGCTCATCATTTGCTAGCGTTCGGCGCTCGTCGGCATACGCAAAGCCATCATACTTGAGAACCTGGTCCGACCCTACTGCACATTGCACGGTGTACTTGAGAAACCTTTGTGATCTTGCCAGCACATCCCTCTTAAGCTTCTCGGCTTCCGGATACACTGCCAAGGGAACATATTCCAGCTCAGTCACTGTCTTGGTTCCGCGGAACCGATCGAACTTGAAATCGCGCCACACCTTGACGAGATTGTGGCCATCATAATCCCAGGTCCAAGCCCACATCCACAGTCTGGGGGATTTGCTGATGGGCGAGTATGGAATGGGAGAGTCCGCAACAGACATGATTTGCTCAATGTTGTTGAAATTTCGGACTACAATGAGCGTACCCGGAGCGAATGCTGTCCACAAAGTTTCAAAGGTCACCGCTTTGATACCGTCTTCCTGGTTTCCGCGGAGCTTGAAATAACTGTCGAGCTCGGGTGTCGAACGAACACGCTCAAGCAGATTCTCCAAG